TCGATACTAGTCTGAGCTAACAAGTGCTAATCTTTCGTGTTATGTATGCAGATGCCGAAGTCCCGTGGGTATAAAAACTATAGCAAAGACGAGATATCTCTTCTGCTGGCCATTCTCGAAGAGCTGCTACCGGTCTGCACTGCGGAGTGGATTAATGCTGTGGAGCTTTATGCCTCTCGGAAGGAGCGTTCATGGGGTGATCGCACTATGGCTAGTTTGCGCCGAAAATTCGTCGGATTATGGTCGGTGTCGTATCCCTCCTCCTCTTTTCCAGCGCTTCGAGCACAAGCTAGACGAATCAAAGGCCAGATTGACAATCTTCAAAGCTCGAGAATAGCCAGGTCACGTTCAATTCCGTCACGCAAGTTACAAAGTATTTCAAGTGCGCCAGAACAAGAAAATCATGAGCAAGTGAGACCAGACCGTAGACGCCTTCCCGGCCGTTCTGCTAGCTTCAGGGTTAACGTTCCAGAAATGCTTCAGGATGGCCCCAGTTTTTTCGGATACTCAACAGCCCTTGTTGGGTCCAATCATGGCAACGATGTCGTTGTTGACAAAGCTACCGTGCGGACCCCTCGTGATCCTGGTGTAGGATCCATCAGGTATGATCCAAGTTTCCCTTCTCACCCCAGCCCTACGGTTCCGAATGTACCATCGCTGATGCCATTCGTTTCCAAACCACGTCCGGATATAAGAGTTACGCGGACGGCAATCATGAAGCTGTACAACCAGATGATCCAACTTGTTGTAAAAGCTCAAGTGGATGCTGAGCGTAGAGAGGTTGAGCGTGGGGATCGTGAAAGACTGGAGCGTATATCGGCTCTTCAGTACAAGAACCAACTAATGGCCATGATTACAGCCTTACACAGACCTATGCAATCGTAAGGAAGGCTCAGAAGAAATCAACTGATTTTAGCGATATCGTTCTTGGTATCGCTTTGCGAAATCGTACTCAAATCGAAATGAATTTTGCAACTAAATCTTGTTAGCTTTTTTTCTATTTGGATAATGGATATTGTTCAGGTGTCCCGTTTTTTCGCAGCCAATGCGCTAGGTGCTACTCTGGTTTGAGCAATAATAATAACGTTAGACCATCTAATATTGCCTTCACCAATTCCGGCATTGATTGTAAGATAAAACTAGGAATGCTGAGTCAAGAATGATTCGCTGTCTAGAAAGCTACTTATGAGCTTTGTTGATCT